CGAAGAAGATTTGGATTGGATCTATCACTACGTTGGCATGTTAGTACTACTCACATTGTTCCGATTGTCACAGGATTGACGTTTGTTATGTAGCTTTGCAGATCGCGACATATTTATGAGATACTTCGGTGGCGCGGTTGGACACCAGCGTCACGGTGGCCGATCTGGCAAGCCGCGACCTGCGCCTGTGGCGCCAGAACCTATCATACAATTGTCTGGCCATGGCTATGATGATGAAGCCGACGAGGAAGGTGAGGATGAACTAACTAACACTGACCTGAACTCGTACGACAGCCAGGAGCAGCCGTTGGAGTTCGATGAAGAGGAGGGCGAGCCGGACGAGCATATAGATGGCGGCGAGGATTACGACGAGGACGACGACAATGAGCAAACGGAGAGTGAAGACAGCGAAGATGATGCCGCTCTGGGCCCAGAAGACGGCGAGAGCCCTATGGACGATGACGAGCTTGAGCTGGCTCGTGTAGGCTTCGCCCCCATGTAGTAGCCCAATGTACCCGCGAACGATGCATTGGCACTGGACGAGCACAAGCTGCTCTCAGTCTGCGCCGACACCGAGAGGGCGATGGACGAATCGTTCATTGGTACATATCCTTCGTACTGCCTACAAGCACTGTATACTATTCTAACAGAACAGGAGCTCGTGCAACACCAACCACATATTGCTCTGTGTGGCAATCTTTCCGCCAGTCTCCCCCGATATTGCAAGTATTGCGAGGACGGGCCCCTCCTGCCCACATATTGGGCGCTCCTGTCCTCTCGCGCCTGAACGAGCGCTTCAGGCCATATCGACAATCGTCAGGGGCATTTTCGCACTTTTGCTGATGAAGCAGCTCACGGAAAGCCGCCCAACCACCAGACACGACCGGCTCGCCGACGCCCACGACGGTCCGCGCGGCATTGCGGCATCTTGGCACACATCTATTCGCGCATCCAGAATCGGAGCCTCCAATCTCTCGATCCTATCCCAAACTCTGTCCCAGGAGAAGCAGTATCTCGGACTGCTCTCACACTGCTGTCCCTATGTCCCCGATCTTTCTCGCCCTCTCTGCCACATTGGTCTCAGCGGGATATGTGGTAGCCGGCGGTTGGAAATCATCTTACCTCGCACATCGACATCGTCGTCCTCTCGAGCGCCGCGGCAAAGCCGCCCCTTTCCGCCTCTACCCTGGGTAACTCAAAGAGCTAGGTCACGCAGATCAGCAATCGACCTGCTAATTCCTGTCAGCCGCATCATATAGTCTCTAGGCTGGAGCGGCACCACGCCGTTTGTTTCGGGCGGTGCGCGGCGTTTGGAATCATTTATGTATGCATCTGTTCGTCTCCGCTCCGTCGGACCGCACTAGCGAACGTCCAGCCGCTCTCGAACGGCAATCTGGATGCGCTCATGGCGGATCCCACGTGTAGCTGGGCAATGCATCACGTCGCAGACTAGGTCAGACAGCCGAGGACGTTCTCGGTGTGGGGAGGGTGTTCATGTGCTCTGTAGCTGTCTTCCGTACTGTTTTCCGCTGAACGCAGCGGGTATGTGACACCAGGCCGTTAGGTTAGCCATCGAATGCTCCAAAAGTATGTGTGCCCTTCGTATACTTAGTCGATGTGTGTATTGACCCTACTATATTGCTTGGAGTTCCCGTTCAGTAGGGTTGTGGGGATGGGAAGATCTCGATGCCGAAGACAACCGCTCCTTTCAGTAATTCTCGATTGCCTGGATCTCGTGCGCTTCTGTCTCCTGTATTCGGGGCCCATCATCAGCAAGGTCACTTATGGTTTACGTTGCAGAATTTCTGTATCATATGATACGCTGCTGACGTAGGCGAGTAATTAGCAGGTGAACAGTTGCATAGCCACAAGTTGAGGCTCTGTGAGTCGTATCATTCGATTCCTTCATACTACAGACTATGAAGCACTCGGCCAGGTTGAATGCCGAACGCTCCAGGCAGAGCCTGTCATATGCCGTTATCTGCAGCGCGCCTGCGAGCTCTTATCGTGGGAGACATAAGTACAACTTACGGTCGACGCTGCCAAGGTCGGGCGAGGCACGCTCTGGAATCGAGCCAGGTCGCAGGGCACGGTCAAGGTCGCAGACGGGAACCGTGTCATGTCAGTGATTCCTGTATTGCTACGCCGTAATGTGCAGGTGACGCCCGCTCCATAGTACTTATTCTCGTCACGGAGAGGCGACCTGGATCAAGCGCAAACCAAACATGTTCGCCCTTCCGCCCATTCTCGCTGTTCATACCCCGTTACTCAAGTTGTCACTTCTGCTTGGCAACGCCATATACACCTATGAGGCTTTCCCCAGTACCCCCCTCCAGACGCCAATAATGACAGCGCGCGAGAAAGCGGAGTCTAGCCCTCGCCCCGTGCTGCACCAACCTCCTATTCCTAGAGTCCTCCGATTGTGTGCGGCAGCATCGAAGGTAAGGTGTACTCCGTGACGGATATGCTCTCACCTACTGATTTTTTTGTCCCTGTAGTGCGTTTGCTGCAGCGTTTCCCTGATGGAGGTAGCGCTCATCCTCGGGCATCATCCCTCGTGGACCTACTCCGCTTTTATTCCAACTTCGTTACTTCCTTTCGTCAGGCTGTGGAGTCTACGTCTCACGTGGAGCTCCGTAGCGGGATGTACCCTCGGGATCATCGGAGGATTCATCCGTACGCAATGCGCCGGTCGCACACTCGGACGTTCGTCTAGTGGGGAAACCGCTGCTAGGGACGACCGCAAGCTGATCACCGATGGACCGTACTCACTTGTGCGGTATCCTGACTACATGGGTGAATGCTTGCTCATGGCGGGGAATGTACTATTGCTGGCAAGCAAAGGCTCGTGGTATACAGAAGGAGGTTTGTGGAATACCGTCGTAGGCAAGGGTCTCGCATGCTCCGTCATAGTATTCGTGGCTTCCGTTGCACTGAGCAGATTCTGGATGGTGGAAAAGGAAGACGAGCTGCTGAGGGAAGAGTTTGGTCAGCAGTGGGATGAGTGGGCAAGGAGGACTCCGTATCGCCTGATACCGTTTATCTATTGAGGTCTACGATCTAGTTGCCCGCTGGCGGTTGTATAGATATCCCTTGGACTTAGTATGTTATAGTCATTCTTCATGCCATGCAACTTCCTTTGACATCTTAAGAAACAGTCGAGCTATGTAAGTATTCGAAGACATCTGGACTTGTCGTTGCTACATCCCGCTCCTGGCTACTGCCAGTGTGACTTGGACTGAACTACCCTCGAACCCGTACTACGCGGTCCTCTTGGGGCCAAACCTTGTGTCTGTCACTGGCGTTGGCCACTGCAGTCTTTCTTGATCCGTAGCGGAGGATAGACCCTAGCATGATGTGTCATCTTGGTCGCCTCGACAGCTCACATAAGTCAATCATACTACACATTAGTTCAAGCGAGCCTCCCACTCTGGTACCATTACTACCCTTGTCAAGCACCCGACCCTCGCCGTCGTGTCCTATGGTTTCCGACCCATATTCCCATATTTGAGATCTCCGGTTCGACTATGGCCGTCCTGGCAAGCAGTTGGCCGCGCCAAATTCGGGGGCGCTTGAACGGATACACCCGGTGAGCGACTGACACTGCTCGAAGGCCTCATTCTCATTCGCCTTCAGACCCAGTCCGATTCGTCTCGACCACTCTACCATTCAGGCGCACGGCCTCGCATACATTGGACGAACGTTCTTGTCGTAGCCGGACCTGCACGCTGAGTACCGTTTTTTCACGAACCTTATTTCACCGCATCGCTGACCACATCGCTTTCTACGGGCGTCCTAGGAGTAGCTGTGCCACATTTGAGCTAGAACATTAGCGCTCTCAGCGTCCCTCGAGACGCCATCACATTCGATGACGACCACAGCCATGGCGTGAGAAGGATCTGTGCACTGGTCAGATGCTGTGAGGCTGCGTAGTAGTGTGTCTATCTCGAGGAAACTCAAGTCGTCGTTGTGCAACCTTGCACCAGGGTACGATTATGTTACTCGCTGAGAGCAATCCACTCATATTCTAGCAGGTGCAGCTATACATGTGGGTGCTCAGCACCGAACGTGCCGAGCTCACGTTCTTTGCTACCCCAGAAAGCGTCCCGGGAGGATACGCAATCCTCTCTCATGTATGGGACGAGACGGAGCAGACGTTCCAAGATATCAAGCTCCTACATTCCCGCAATGCACCCGCCGACTGCAATCCCCGTGACTTTGCGTCTTCGAAAGTGCGGAACTTCTGCGTCCTGGCAGAAAGCCACGGCTACCAGTGGGCCTGGATCGATACCTGTTGCATTGACAAGGCAAGCAGTGCTGAACTCTCCGAGGCCATCAACTCGATGTTCCAGTATTACGCACTGGCGGATGTCTGCTATGCATATCTACGGGACGTCCCGTCTCAAGACTACGTGGAGGGAGAGTCTTCCGATTTTCGCTCGAGTCTCTGGCATAAGCGCGGTTGGACTTTGCAGGAACTTGTTGCGCCGGAGACGGTGGTATTCCTGTCTTCGGAGTGGAAAGCTCTGGGCACGAAATGTGACCTTGCTTTCCTTCTCGAGGGTATCACCAGCGTTCCTGCTAGCATCCTCAGGATGGAGGCAGAGTTGACATCCGTCAGCATCGCGGCACGTATGTCATGGGCGGCGGACCGCAATACGACCCGCCCGGAGGATCAGGCGTACTGTCTAATGGGCATCTTCAAGATCCATATGCCTTTGCTCTATGGTGAAGGTCCCCAGGCGTTTCGCCGCTTGCAGGATGAGATCATGAAGCAACATATAGATACCTCGATCCTTGCCTGGGGTCCGATATATCAGCCACGACCGCATCGAGACAATCCCAAGAAGCCAATTCACGACCACTCAGAGGAAACGTATCTCTTCGCCTCCTCCCCGTCAGCTTTCCGTGGTTGCACTGGTCGACGGGCCATAATACCCAATCGTTCATCTGGAGACGCTAGTCGACAGATCTCTGAAGCGGACACAGTGAGTTCATCTGTTCTCCTCTCTTGGCTATGGTTTTGACGTTCACTCTCTAGATGGGCATACCTGTCCCTTCGATGACTGACCTCGCCACGATTCCGACATTTACCAACACACCGTACGGTGTTCTCGCTCACATTCCCATCATCGAGGCCCACGACCTCATTATAGCCCCTCTTTTCTGCTGCAATTATGGACGACAGCTCGGCCTCCTGCTTGCTCGTTGTCCGAATGCGATAGATCCCGCTAGGCCCCTATACCACATATGCTTCCGCTTCCGGGACTCTCGATTTGAATCTCGACTCATCGACCTCGGAAGCTCGTTTGCCACTTTTCAGCTCAACGGGAAACGCGTCACTGCTCAGTGGAAATCGGTCTACCTTGCCGACCGGCCCCCTTCGACTCCTCCACCGACCCGCGTACCCATGAACAGAAGCATGTTTACGCCTTTCCGGCTCCCGCGGGCGCACCTGCGAGACCTCGAAAGGCACTGGGATGTGCAACCACTGTGTCGCGGTGGGATACCGGGGCGTCTGTGGAACGGCTTGATCTCCTTTTCCTTCAGTCCACGTCAACCTGTCGCAGGCGGATTGCCCTCGCAAACCTTTACGATATATCTCGGGCGCTGTGCCGAAGGCGTTACCTTGGGCGCGCACTGGGTCCGTGTTACCTTCAAGGCACACAACGCACCTCCCGATCAGCATAATCGCGATGCGTCGAACGGAGCGCACGACTGCTCGCTTGCGCATGTGCGCGACTGGCCCGCGCTAACGAAAACGTTCTCAACCCCGGGACGAACATTGAGCGTACAGCTTACTTTCGTACCTTGTCATTTGAACCCCGATGCGACGTTGGTCCTGAGCATAAATGCTGGGGGTTCGATCAGGAGCCCGGTACGCGCTAATCATGCTTTGTCCCAGTGTTCATGTCAGCTAACTTATGTCACCTCAGACATAGACGGATGACAGAAGGTACATCAACTCACAATTTCAGTGGTTCGGAAGGGCGCGCTAGTCTTGTTTCGTGGATTGGCACAAAAATTGGGATGGACGCACGGGTGAGGAGCAAGGCGCTCGTGGTGACCTCGGGTAAGACCGGGTCACATAAGTAGCAGAGCAACTTTCGGGAGGAGGCTTGTACGGAATGAGTCGAATCACTTGTCTACCGTGCGCACTGCGCTCGTTCTATGCGAACCTCTCGATCGAGCCGTGACGCGACAAATTAGGGCAAACATGCTGGAGCTATCCGCCACCCTGACATGAAGCTGCCCAGAACCAAGTGAGGATTCTCCTCTGTCTTTGTGACCTGAGGTACGACGATTTTCAGAGCATGCGCTGATCTTCCCCTCCGCGATGCGGTCCCTGACCGTGAAGCTCACAGGGTTGGCTCCTTTGGACGCCGATTGGCCTTGAACTCAATCCCGACTCAGTTCCGTCCGCAGCGGCGTGGCCAAAAACTGAATGCGCTTTGATTTGTTCTCGTTGTCCGCGTACATGGTTCATGACATCAGGATGCAGTCCCCTCTGCAAGTCTTAGTGCTGTCCAGTACGTTCTCCATCTCAGAGATCAGCATCTCGACGGCCATACCAATTGCGACTCATCGTCGAGCTTCTCGCGCTGACTCTTTTCGTTGCTTAGCTACAGGAGAAATTTTGAGGCTGCTAGGCGCGTATAGAGTAGGAAGTCAGATCGTGACGAGCTTCGACTCGGTTCCTGTCAGGCAAGCGTACAACACTCAATGGATTACGGTCGCAATGCGGCGGCGCTCGGTTCCTTCCATTCCATCCTTGACGGAGGAGCCTGAAGTGCACAGCCCAGCCTCATCGCAGGCACCTGCCACATTACGTTGGCCGCCTGTGTCATTGGACCATGTATCCGGCTCAGGGTCAAGAGGTTCCAACTCGATAACAGAAACATCCGTGTTCTGACGTGGCCTGTACCTGACATCAGGTCAAGCAATTTGTAGTCTTCCATGTGATCCGTCTTCTTCCTACCGCTACTGAACTGTGCATTTTCCCACTGGTGTTGGAAAACAAACCCGATAGGTCTTCTGAACGCATTGCCTCGGAGTTCTTATAACATGAGAATACCACTACCACGCCTAACATAGCCAGCGGGTCGCCGGTTGGAGCAATTTACGCGACGTGTCCGCTACCAGTATACTGACGAAGCCGTCTCGAAGATATATAGTCAGTTTAGAACGGAGACGCATGCTATCGCTAAGTTCGCAACGCAGCACGTACTCGGCGCTATCCGATGTTCTTTATGAGATGACAGCACTGTGTTGACCAGTTCATTTTTCTGCGCTTTGAGTACCTCGCTCTCTCCTCTGACACGCCCGCAGCACCTCCTCTCTTCCCCCACCTGCCTAGGCTTCTCAAGCTGTTGCCGTCTATACGATACCTCGCCGCATAGCCTGAAGCAGCAAGCCTCGTACTCGTCTAATGTAAGTGTTTCATCTGGCCAGTTACAGTCCATAGGCTGATCTTGCCATTGCAGAGTTCCTGACCACGTTCTCACTACCTCCATCGCGTCGGTCTGACCTCCTCAGGTGAGCTCGAACCTCTACACAATCCTTCGAGCTGCTCTCAATGCGATCGCAGTCGGATTCATCTCCATGTGGCTTCTTAGTACTGACCGAGCAGAGCTACACTACTTCTCGTCTCCGGAGGACGTCCCCGGAGGCTACGCAATCCTTTCCCATGTCTGGGACAAGGAGGAGCAGACATTTCGAGACATTCAGAAACTCCGCGAGGACTGCGCATCTGCACACGCCACCATCATTGCGCCAAGTGTCAACTTCTTCAAGCGCAAACGAATTCCATCCAGACGGAATCTCAATCCGCGCGACCACGCATCCGCGAAGATCCGCGAGAGCTGCATCCTCGCCGAGCGACATGGGTTTAAGTGGATCTGGAACGATACCTGTTGCATCGACAAGGCGAGCTCGTCTGACCTTTCTGAGGCCATCAATTCGATGTATCGGTACTACTCCCTTGCTGAGGTCTGCTATGCCTACCTCCGCGACGTGCCGAATAAGGATAACGATGGCTGGGAGCAGCACTTCCGCGGGTCGAGGTGGCATAAGCGGGGATGGACCCTGCAGGAGCTCATCGCTCCCGACTTCCTCCTCTTCCTTTCTGGAGACTGGTCGGTGCTCGGAACGAAGACTGACCTTGCGGACGAGCTCGAGGTCATCACCATGGTGCCGGCGACGGTGCTCAGGAAGGAGGTGGAGCTAAGCAGCATCAGCGTTGCGCAACGCATGTCGTGGGCGGCTGGCCGCGAGACGACGCGTGTCGAGGACGAGGCGTACTGCCTTATGGGTATATTCTCCATCAATATCTCGACGCTGTACGGGGAGGGACGACAGGCGTTCTACCGGCTGCAGGAGGGGATCATGAAGAAGCTAGTCGACACTTCCTTGGTCGCGTGGGGATACTCCACGCCGAGCTTGAGTGTCAACGGTGGTGATTCGATTCTCGATCATCAGGATGAGAACTATCACCTCCTTGCTCATTCACCCCATGCATTCCATGTTTCCAACGCAGTCTCGTTCTCCGCTCCGCGCTCGGCTATTGCTGCTTACAAGAGAAGCGTGAGTGCATCACCCAATTTACCCGTTGCGTTCAGATGCTTAGGCATCACCCACGTCTAGTCGGCTGGTTCTGACCACCTCCGTTTCGGTAAGGCGAAAGCACAGGCCTCTTCACAAGCTGCCATTCCCACCTTCTCTATCACACCTTTCGGCATTCAAGCTCACATCCAAGCATTCAAAATCAACCCACGAACTCTCATCGCAATCCTGCTTTGCTCTGTCACCGAAGGCAGGAAGGATTTGCCCCTTGGCTTAGTGCTAACACTCTGCTCAGACTCGCCTGATCCTTCCCGGCCGCTCTACCACGCTGGATGCAAAGACAAGACATCGATCCACGTCCTGCGTCTGGTACGCCTACCGCAAAGCATGGAAGAAGTCCGCGTCCGCGGAAAGCCCGTCTCTCTCAAGTGGAGAGACATCTACATCACGCACTGGCCTCCTCCCCGTACTCCGAGCAATCCGCGCATCCTACTTCGGAGCAGTCTTTCTGGACCATTTCGCATCCCCAAGCAAGCGTTCCAAGCGCTCAACCGAGCGAAATGGACACTGCAGTCGGTGTCGAGGATGCCCCCTGTCTGGAAGGGGTCGACGCCGATGGGATTCACCTTTCGGGACGTTTACGGAGGATATCTTGTCATCACTTTCGGACGATGCACTAAGACAAGCGATCGCGCTGATCAGCTAGGACCTCATTGGGCAATCGTGAAGCCGTATGGCGACGCGCCCCCCGCCTCCCTGCCCGAGCATGATTGTCTGAGGGACCACATCTGCGACTGGCGCGACCGTATGAAAACCTTTGAATCTTCCTACTTCTCGTTCCAGCACAGTCTAACGCTCTCATTCTCCCCATGCCCGATCAATCCTGCGGACACGCTGGTTGTTGATATGCATTATCAGGAGCGGTAGTATATCAACTCACTTCTATTGCAGCGCTCTTCTGGATTCCTGTTCTTACGACACAATCGGTATATCTGCTTCTGCTTCCGTTGACGATATGTTCATAACCTCACCGTATTCCCAGGACGCGTGGACATCGGCTGGCACATGGGGATCTAGCTTCTTGTCTGCCAAAGCGATTGGCCCGCCTTCTGTGGATCCAATTGGTGTATCTTCGGGGGGTCGTGAACATTAGGTATAGAGGCGCAGAGTACACAAGGGTAACAGCAATTAGAGACTCATCGCGCTATGCAAAAATGCGGTGACTCGAGAGCGTGCGACGGTGCGAGGCTATCGACTATTAGTAAGCAAGGTGAAATGTCTGAGCGCTTACCGCCAACTGGTCATGATGACGTCGACCGTCCCCGCTCGCCAGCGCTTCGGCAGCTCCTTTGCGAACTCATCGTCTCGAGAGCAGTAGGGATCGGCTTTTTTGGCCGTTCACTCAGACCTTCTTACTGTTTCTCCGAGGAATCGAGACTCGATGTGGCTCAACTCCAACGGCGGCAGAGCGGTATTGAGACTCGTTGGACGACCACGTAGCAAAGGTGCGATGTGATAGTACATGGTAAGTGTGCACATTGCTCGAACAGCTTGAGCTAGTTGGACTTACAAGATTATCACCGCTGGCACCCTGACAGCAACACTGCCGCCGAGACCCTTGCAAATTGTCGCCTCATGGACGCCGGAAGGTACTGCAGACGAGTCTCAGCATGTTTAAGGCAACGCTCGTGAGATTGTCCAAACTTGTGGTATGTGACGGCTCTGCAGAATACTGGGTATGGTATCCCATGTCAACTAGTCACAACTTGTTGAGGGGCAGCTGTCTTTGTGGCCAGCAATAGGCGAAGGTAGGAGTTCGTCAAAGGTGTAATTTAACGACAACTGTCAAGACATGGGACACCGCAACGACATTCGTCACTATGTACCGGTGAGCGGCGGCGCTATTTGTCCTTCGGATGTCTTGAAAGCGTACAGACGTCCATCGGTACGTATCTGTGATCCAAGGTCGACTCGCGGGTGATGTAGGACCGGTATGGCGCTGCTGTCAGACCTCGCGAAGAGGGCTCAGTCACCCATAACAACCAGTTCGCGAACAGACTCAATGCTTATCGCCTCTTTCATGGCAGCAAATATTCCCTTGGATCTGCTCCACCACCACCATCATCTTATTGCTCTCGTTTTGTCTCTCCTGCGCTCTTCGGGGCACGTCGGATACACTGCTCCGCTTAGCCCAGGACCCAATAGGGATGAATTCCAACGTCAATCTTCTCGCCGACGAGTTGACCGGGGCAAGAAGAATGCGCTCCGAATACGCCTTAGCTTCCCAGATCGATCATATGGAAAGCAGTTATCACTCATTGGTATGCTTTCTGTACTTTCTTGTCCCTGGTGTCCGACACGGCCCCACCCAGGATACCACGAGCAATGCTGCACATCCTTCGATATCGGAGAAGGTACCTCCTTGTGATCTCCGTGGTTTGCACGCGCATGTTTCTCACGCGCTCTCAGTATGTCCTACACATGGATCCGGACGATTTGAACAGCCCCGCGGAGGACGATCTGGTGCACAACCCAGACCCTAGGCGGGATCGACTGTACGACAGCGGACGTATCTTCACACTACGAGGCCTCATGAACCTCGGGTACCTGCTAGTTCTCGCCGGAACCATTTTCGTCCTCTTGTACGCAGACTGATCTCAATCCTCATTGTGGCGCATTTTCGCTGACGTACCAATCCCAAAGCGCGGGGTACCCTGTCATCACATACTTCACCAAGACGAAGCAGTCGTATCTGGGCGGTTTCAACTTAGGCGTGATCAACAGTACAGGCCAGATTCCCCACATCTCTGGCATGCGCGGCCTCATTGACCGCGAGACACCAGAAGAGGTGCGCATCAAGACGGATTACGTGACCGGCCAGACATGGCAGCTCGTGTTCAGCGACGAGTTCAACACTGACGGACGCTCGTTCTACCCCGGGGACGACCCATACTGGGAGGCGGTCGATCTGCACTACTGGGCAACGGGGAACAAGGAGTGGTATGACCCGAAGGCGATCACGACGCGCAACGGCTCGCTCAAGATTCGGCTGTCGCAACAGGGGAACCATGGCTTGAACTACACCGGCGGCATGATCCAGACGTGGAACAAGTTCTGCTTCACGGGCGGCTTGTTCGAGACGAGCGTCATGCTCCCCGGATACAACAACGTGCGCGGGTTTTGGCCTGCTATCAGGGCGATGGGAAATCTGGGGCGTGCTGGCTACGGCACATCACTTGACGGCATGGTACGTGCACTAGCCTCGGCCTGAGCATAGCCTCATCATGGACATATCGTTTCAAGTGGCCTTACAGCTATGATGCGTGTGATATGGGGACCGTCGCCAACCAGACGGTCAACAACCTGCTCGTTGCAGCTACGGAAGGCAACGATGCCTATAACAACGGCGCGCTCTCGTACCAACCCGGACAGCGGTTGTCGCGCTGCACTTGTCCAGGGAGTCCCATCCTGGCCCGGTCCATGACAACGGCGAGTATGTCGGTCGCTCTGCGCCCGAGATTGATATGTTCGAAGCCCAGGTATTTCGTAATAGCTATATCAAGTCTCTGGAAATTCAGAGGAACTCACCCAGACCGCATGGCCTAGATTGGTGGCACGCCAATGGGCGATAGATCTGGGGCGGTATCCCAGTCCGGACAATGGGCTGTGCGTCTTCCGGTTTCTTTCAGATTGCGTTGCGACTGATGCTATATGCATAGCCGTTCAATTGGAAATATACACCTTTAGGAGAATTCGATGTTCCGGACTTGACGAGAAGCGTCAACAACTCCTACACCGGTGGGGTGTATCAACAGGCTACGTCCGTCGTGACTGCTACCGGTATGCAAATCATGCCCAGAGCCCGACCGTCGCGTCGTACATCTGATGTGCTATTTCCCGCAGACCAGACAGCGTACGAATTCAACGGCTATGGCTATTCAGTGCATGGTTTCCAATACAAGCCAGGTTTTGGTGACGCGGTGAGTTCCACCGCAGCACTGATCGGTCGCATTCAGGCATGACACCACGACATATCAGTACATATCTTGTATTGCAAACGGGCAGCTAGCAGTCGATTCGGGTCTATCAGGATCCGAACGCGATCAATATTGGTTGTGACCCTCCCCACTTCCCTACGGCCGTGTACATCGCTCAGTGCGTTCTCATGCCCCTCCACGCAGCCTTTTGCCGTTGCTGACTGCTGCAATTCCGATATCACAGGTACAAGGAAGCGTATGCGAACCCAGACCTGACCACATGGGTCAACGATTACAAGCAGGAGAGCCCCAAGAACAAGTTCCTCGGGCAGTGCTGAGGGCTCAATAGTATCAATCTGTTTGCTCTATGTGGTCATGCTCATCGGATTGGTGCTAGGTTACACTTGTTATACAATTTATTGTTTTATACACGTGCCGTCGGCTGCGATGTACTTGCCAAGGGAAGACCTCAATTTGGCCCATATGTTTGTGGCGGGCAGGTGAAGAGACGAGTGCGTCGAGGACACTCAGTCATCTGTATATGCCAGTGGGTGCGAGAGGACTCAGGAGACACTTGAGTAAGAGGCTATAACAATAGCTCATTCAGGTAGGAAATGCGAAATGCGAAACCCGTGTCCTACCTGGAGACTATGGACTGAATGATGCCGTCCGTCGGACAGGGCGAGCAGAGCAGCCGCGGGGTTTTTATGAAGCGCGCGGCATATCGGACTCCGATCTGTCGCGACTCGCGAGCGCCAAGCCCAACCCGTCTTCTGCTGCACGCCCGACAAGCCCAAGACCATCGCTGGTACTGGGAACTTCCAATTTGGCGGACAAAGTTCTTCCCTTGCTATAGGTAAGCGGGCGAAAACGTGATACTGTGCTATTTACATGTGATTCGCGATGCATCTACTCGTTCGCCCCAGATCATGGGCCACGTCACATTATACTATATGGTACGCCTATCGTATCGCATACTACGTCCGCGTCGTTCTAGAACAACCACTCCTTGTTGCTCGATCGAATGGAGTGGTGAAAATGAAGGCGGACAGTGAGGGTAGGTTACGAAGGTCTTGTTGCTGTTGCTAACGCTAGTATAGGGATCACCAGGCGTCCGGCCCGCGGCCATGTGGCTCTATTCCACCACGCTGGATCTTGTCACTGGCCGCAAGGCAGGCTTCCTTCGTTCTCACGTTAACAGTTACACTTGGCTTCCTTGATTGCTCACTTCACTGCCAGTGCATGTAACCCTCCGAGGTCAACTTCTGGTCGACGTTGATTTGTCTTTGTCGTGCAAGGTTCGTCCCATTTATGTTCCATTTAAGTTGGATACTTGCTCATCGCGAGCCTACAAAGAGGGACACCGACCAATGTGGCTACTCAGCACCGACAGAGCCGAACTGCGTTTCTTCGTCTCCCCAGACCGCGTTCCTGGTGGATACGCCATCCTCTCGCACGTCTGGGGAGAGAACGAGCAAAGCTTTCAGGACGTGCAAGGATTTCGTACTCGCGGCGCTCAGAGCGGAGAGAACCCCAGGGATCTCGTCTCCTCCAATATCCGCGAATGCTGCCTCCTCGCTGAGCGTCATGGGTATAGGTGGGTATGGAACGACACATGTTGCATCGACAAGACCAGCAGCGCAGAGCTCTCCGAGGCGATCAATTCACTGTACCTCTACTATACTCTCGCCGAAGTCTGCTACGCGTACCTCCAAGATGTCCCCAGCAATGTCGCCATAGAGAGCGACCGATCCGCGTTCCGGACAAGCCGATGGTACAAACGCGGCTGGACCCTGCAGGAGCTCATCGCCCCACATCTTCTCATTTTCCTCACTGTCGACTGGGAGATCCTTGGAAGCAAGTCAGAGCTCGCGGAACTGGTGCAGGATATCACGAGGATACCGGCGGCAGTCTTACGGAAAGAGATGAAGTTAGAGGACGTCAGCATTGCTCAACGGATGTCCTGGGCAGCCGCGCGGGAGACCACGCGAGTCGAAGATGAGGCATACTGCCTCCTCGGGATCTTTGGTATCAATCTCCCCATCCTATACGGAGAGGGAAGGCAGGCGTTCCGAAGGCTCCAAGAGGAAATCATGCGTCAGTCAATTGACCCATCTCTCTTCGCGTGGGGACTGAGAGCAGACTACGATGGGCTCTCTCGTGCCCTGCTCGATGGAGAGAGTACTGATACTGTTCACCATAACCACGATGTCCGGGAAGCGTACCTGTTGGCGGCATCACCATCTGACTTCGAGAACTTGGCGGATATTTTGTTCACCCCTTCCCGTGCATCCGGAGGCGAGGGAAAGCTGGTCTCTGAGGTGAGCCCCCATTATATGCTGGACGACCTCGTCGTGTTGAAGGACACAATTTTCTGTTCAGGTCGCCCAAGAAAAGATACCCGGTCGTCCCTCCATGCAAGACGTTGGCATCCCTTCCTCTCCATCACGCCGTATGGCGTCCACGCTCGCGTTCCCGTTTTCGAAGGCCTTGGATACATCGTTGCCCCCCTTTTCTGCTCCACGTCTGACAAGCAGACCATCGGGCTCCTCCTAAGCCCTTGTCCTGACGCTTCGGATCCGAAGCGTCCGCTCTACCATTGCGCCGGAATGTTCAGCACGGAGGTGGTCCGCATCACCTTACTTGGTCCGGATCTTGTTCACCCTCGTTTCTATGGACAGACGTTTACCCCCGAGTGGAGGGACGTCTTCATCACCCATCGCCCTCCGACCACCACGAGCGCAGCGTTGCGCATCCCCATCAACAACACCCTCTCAACCCCGTTCCGTTTTCCGAAGCTTGAGATGCAGCGGATCCTCACCAATCGACTGCGATTTGTCTCTTTAACGCCGACCACAGGGCCTTGGAACGGTACTCCTCCTATTGCATTCACGTTTAAGCACTTCCGGAAAGTCTTCGCCGTTCTATATCTTGGACGGTGCACTGCGAATACCCCATCGGAATCTGGAGATTTGGGACAGCCAGGTCCACACTGGGCGAACATATGCTTCTATCCCAGCGATCCCCCACCTGACATCCCCGAACACGCTTGTCCGACTGACCACGTTCGGCAATGGCCCGAGCTGACGAGGACCTTCACGATGCTCTCCCAAGTACCCCAAGCCTCCGTGCGAGTGTACCGGAAGATCCGTATCACGCTGTCCTTCACTCCGTGCTCAATGAATCCTGCAGAAACATTTGTTGTGCAGCTGTCGCAGCTCGCAAACGAAGGTTTCTCCTTCGAGTCAAGTCAAGCAGAGGCACGCCCGGCACCGCCTCATTCAACGCTTCAGGCAACGTAAGCCATTCATATTCGTTTGGATGTAGCGATCGCTTGACGCCGTCGTAGCGAAGAGTAATGACCTGTAGAATCTGCTACTGCACCACCGGCCGACGCCCCTAGCTCACTGAACACCCAGCAACTTCCCCGCCTTGTTGCTACGCATCCGATTACTCGTACCCTTATCATCGCAATGAGGGTGGTTGCGGTCACATTGGCCTTTTGCTTACTCTACTTGGCAGGCGGGCCAGTTGCGACTCCCTTCGGTAAGGACTGGCTTCAGCACAATAATGTGTATAATTATCTCAGCAGATGTGCGTCATCATATCAAGAGACACTGACGTATTGAACATCATGGGAGTCGCCGAAGCTGATGGTCCTGGATATGTACAGAAGGCCTTGGTGAAACGCATCTGACACGGCGTGAAGACCTCGCTTGATGTTGATATCGTACCCTGCAGACCTGGTACGTCGCTCCGTCTGAGCACACCGATACAGTGTTGTAATGTTGGCAAGACAGCCAGCTGTGCAAACCTGTAGACTTCCCGCAGGACCCAAGACGACCCGTTTGGCGTATCCACTTCTTGAGACCGTGAATTGGCCCCTCTGCGTCGCTCCACGGCACCTTTACACCTCACGTTTCTTGGGGAGTACCAGTTGTCCTGCTCTGACCTGGCTTCCGGCTCTGGGGGACGCCGCGTCCGCCCGCGGTTCACGTCGTCGTGAACCGTGATTCGTCCCGTCTCGATCCTGGTTCTCATTGCATCCTTCGCATATTTCTTCCTCACGGTCGTCGAAGTCGTCGGTCGTACTACTAGTAGGATAGCATCTCTGTGCTCCGCCTGCGGGCTGTACGATAGCTTCCTGGTCGCGGCCCAACCACGTTTCCGTATGCATCTCGAAGACTATGCATGGTACGGAGTATTTGCGCATGCGTTCGCGCCTCCGCATGGCTCCCTCCCCGATAGCAATCTCTATGGCACTGCGATCTGCATATATGTCGATCCACTGTACGATACCTATGCCATGGCACTCCCTCTACGTACCGCTGTCCCCGCATGTAATTCTTCGCTTCACAGATGTCATGCAGAACAGTCCATCACGTCAAAACAGCGAGTGCCATTGAGTAGATGGACAATACGGCACGCAAACACAGAACAGCGACATCGAAGCACAATGGGTGACACGCAACTGCTCTAATGATAGCACCAATCGTCCGGATCGTTGACACGTGTGGTAGGAGATCGGTGCGCGGCCTATTGGGTATCCGTTTGGGTAAGGACAGTACATGCGACGACGCGCGCGGCGGCCCGCAAGGGAGGCATGCCGACGGCGAAACTGATTACTGACGCAGGAGGGCCTGTAGGGTATAGTCGGTCGGCTAGTACAGATGTAGCTGATTGGATGAGAGGGGGACGATAGGGCGAACCCCGCACCGCATACACCCACTGCCCTGAAGCGAACAAGACTCCAAGCCTATCGCCCCAAGATCAGACGGGGAGCGAGGCGGCGCGCTCCGCACGCTCGACTTGTTGCTGACGCTCTCGACGGCGATGGTGACTCCAAGCCCGCGCTTGCGCCCGTGCGCATCGCGGAGAGGCTGGAGGAGATCGATGTGGAGGTGCAGTTTGAATGGATCGCGATCCGCTATCAGCACAACGCATGGCCAGCGGCATTGGTCCACCCACGTACACATGCGCACGAGCAAGAGACAGAGACTTACCCGGAACCAATCAAGCATCTCCGTGCTGCTCTCATTCAACGTTGCCCTCCGCACATGTGTTCGCGTCGTAGAAGCAGATTGTGCCGATATCAGTGATCGCGGTGTCGTTGCCCGCGTCGTGGGGCCCGCGTTGAAGCCGCCGAACGTGCCATGCGCAGAAATGCAGGGCGTTGCGAACTTGGGCTGGAGTGATGGCGCACGGGGAGCAGGAAGCGGCTTGCCGGCCGGGACGCGACAGGATCAGCTATCGTCTCTTCAGAGTCCAATAAGCCAACGTCGCCGAGGTTGGCGGTGACCTCTGCGGGCCAGAAGTCGCAAGAATAGAAGTAGTGTTACAGCTGACGAACAGTGATGACGATCTGCTTCGTCGAGGAGGTGAGGAGGGTAGAGAGCTAGAGATGCAAGATGAGCACATCAGAGAATGCAAGGACTCCCGGGAACAGCAGAAACAGATACAGAAGCTCCCTGCATGACCGTGACCTGTTATGGAGCGAGAGGAAGATAGGATGGTGCAGTGACTTCGACAGGAGGAGAGAAGACGGCGATGCAGGGCGACTGGTTTACACAAGGACAGTCATGCGATCAATGCGATCCGCACGGACTTGCTTCCACCGAGCGAGGAGAGTCGGAGCGCGGTTTGCGGCGAGTGAACGTATGTACATCGCAGCTTCGACAGGACCGCGACTTCCCACTCAGTCACGTGCTTGCGACCTCACACGGACCCGACTCGCATCTGCCAGTCCTCGTTCGCGCCCATCTCATCTCCCCTCCCCTCATTGGTGATATCAGACACTCTGGACTTGGTACTGTGTTCCGTCTAGCCTAAATTCATTCAATAATTTGTCCCTAATGCCAGCATGCCATGGGTAGGCGTCAAGGCTCCCCTCGCTGGACACGCAAAGACCCCTTTGGTTGGTTCGCTTCAAGACCATCAGCAAAGATGTCGAATCATTGTAATGTAGGTTGTATTGGCAATATAAGGAGTGTTTATATCAGCTTTCATTGTAAGACTAGTCTTAACGAGATAGGTGGTCTATTGGCATTAGATATGAGAGCTTAATATTTGTGATCACTGTAGTATATCGGGCCGTCATCATATTCAATAAGCTTGCACTGGAACACATGGGCGCGCTCAGCCAGGGATTATCATGTGAGTAGGGTGTTCTAGTGCCATTAGCATCGTACACCTGGTCAAGTAGTGGTTTGGCAATGTGCATCCATCGCAAGCACACTGCCCGAAAACCCGATATGATATCACACAGGTATATACGCGAAAAATCGTATTAAATTATGTTAACTACAACACAATAAGTTCATGGGAACGGCCACACGCCCTTGGTCTCGCTGATGACCCGCGTGATGCTCTCCTCCGCCTTCTTCGCTGTTCCGATCTCCAAGCTCACAGGTGCTGGAGGAGTCGAGGGAAGCACAGAGTAGAACAGCTGAGGGAGGTGCGACGCCCCGACTTCGGCCAGCTCGGACATTGCAGCGGGAGTTTGGGAGTAGGATACGGTGAGACAAGAAGACTGGAGGGACGAAAGAATAGGACGTACGTGGGTGTGCCGGCCAATGTTGATCGAGGAATAGATGGAGCCGAGGAGAGCAACTGGAGTCAACCTGTGGCCAAGAACGAGGGACAGCGCTCATCTCAGCGCAGCGCGTAATGCACCTTCCCACACGTATGCAGGGTATTAGCATAGTTGTCTTTGCCAAGCAGCGAGAAGTAAGCACATACCTGTCATATGGCCCAGCTCAATGCATCCAATCTACTGCATATGTGCGACGAAAAAGACATGTCAGCTACGGCGAACAGACATACATCCAAGACACCGGACAGAAAGACGTAAGGGCTACATGGGGTGACAGTGCAGAAACGGGTCAGATCCTAAAACACATCTGCGGACGGGCCTGGTATTGACGTCAAGGGAGAGAGCACCGGTAGAGAACCTGCAAAGGGTGAAGGACAGCAGTTCGCCCAGGAAGAAGAAGCAGCCTGGGCCGATGTTGTGGGGCGACCTTGTTCAGGTATTGTACGGTGCGTCAGCGGTGATAGTGTCGGCCCAGTCAGAGTTTTGAGCATGTCGATGGTGGGAGAGAGGAGAGGGGCGATGACTGACCTGTGCATGCGCCCGGGCTTTTGAGAAAGAAGACAAAGTGATTGACAGGTCGCGACTTATGACCTCATGTATGCCAAACGTTCCCCCCGTATTGAGACTGGCCACGATCTGCACCCTCAACCCTAACCCATGGCTCTTGTACCCACAAGCCATTGATACGCTAAGGCAATCGCCAAGAACGTATGACAAGGTGGTCATTAATGCAGCCGTTGACGACTTGGCAGGGAGCGCAGGAGCGTCAGACACTGATCGTGCAGTGGACTTGTGAGTAGCCATGGACCTGGTCGAGATCATCGAGCGTACGGACGCGGTACAAGCCGTTGGACGGTCAATGTCGACATCAAGGAAGCTGCACATGTCTTCCGTGTCCTCTCCACGCTACTTTGTGTTGGTTCAGAACGCGCTGCCGTGAACGTAGTTCTCACTTGCTGTCATATTGGACGAAGCTGGAGAGGAACCGGGCAGTGTTCTGCTGGGATTAGTAGTGCCTGCACAACTGTTGATGCAGTCGATCGTGTAGATCTAATTGATGCAGCCATGGGCTTGGATAGAGGGACTCGATCAACAGCTGCCGTAGAATGCATGCCAGTGGAAAACGTAGAGCTCTTCCGTATGCTCGTGGTAGAAAGGCGACTTTGAGGCATGGGGCTTGGACTGGAATACACGGGCACTTTGCTTGTTCTGAGCCCGGAAGGCTGACGTGTGAAATAGAAGGGGCGGAACTGACCTTTACATCCGGCCCACAGCTGGTCGGTGAGAGCGGTGCCCAACGAGCAATGGTGGTAGTGGTGACGCGTGAGATTCTGGAGTGTGCGGGATGGAGCGGGTTGATGCAGTCAAGAAGTTGGTAGTCCTTGTGTTGCGTGCGGATGCGCACTTGCCTGCGTGGCACACGAAGAGCCGACCTGCATTTGTCGTGCCCGTGTAGTTTCAATCCTGTATGCATGTCAAAAGATGGTCATTCTATGATATTATATGGCGAGCTTCTTGTATAAAATGTCATTGTCATCAGACTCCCCGACAGCCTTGTTATTGCCTCGCCCCACCCAGGGTTTGCAATGGCGAGCTTAGGTGTTGCAATTCCCAGCTTGCCATTTTAGGCGTTACCAATCTTGCCACACATGGCATTGCCGCTGGCACGGTTTCGCACATTTGCTGATGACTTCGTGGATTGCCCCCGCCGAGGCATTGTGGCACTTTGCATTGCTGCATAGTGGATTGGCGTATTTTCATTCTGTGATCGCACAATCAGTGATATGGGCCGTGCTGGTGATTCTTCGCTGATCACTCGCTGTGTGTATTTTACAGAGACTGCCTATCTTTCCGACGACATATTCCTCCGCTTCCCTCCTACTAGGTGCGAGGTCCTTGATAGCAGCGACACGGTACATTATCATTTGATCTTTGACTGACAAGCACAACTAATGGAGACACATTGATCATGCAGTCAGTATGTGGCTCCTCAGCACTGATCGCACGGAGCTCCACTACTTCATTGACCCCAATGCGGTCCCTGGCGGCTACGCTATCCTCTCGCACGTATGGGGGAAGGACGAGCAGTCGTTCAAGGAGATTCAGAAGCTGAAGAAGAAATGCAACAAGGATGGAACAAGTAGGTATTCAGTAGTTTAGATGCATCCGTACTGGTGCTCCACCACCCGACGGATGCATCCAAGCTATGGTAGACGGGTGCATCCATAGGGCACGTGGTACATCTAGCATACGGATGCATCCATAGGTTGTAGATGCACCATAGACCACTGCGGATGCATCCAATGGGCTATGCACCATATACGCAGACATTGTGGTCGTGGTTCCCAGCGCATTACTGGTGACAGGTGTCATGGACGTTGGACAGACACCCCTTTTTGCCGCCCATTCCCTTCCCTTTGACGCCCACCTTCCATTTCCGGACCGTTTCCTTTCCTAGCTCATCCCAGTTTGGACACTGTAGATACGTTCCCACAGCCGCATGCTACGTTCCCGTGATCGCCATGCCCTTGCCTTTTCTTTCTCGCCCTTTGTTCTCCCTTTGTCATCTTCACTGCCTCGCTCTCGCGCCTTGTCCTTGGTTGCTAAGCAGCCCTCTAGTATATAAGGACCCCCCTAGGCGCTCCCTAGTCCCCATCTCGACCTCTTGGTCATTGGGACTAGGTGAGTGACCATAGCGTTGTATCCCTCTTCGATTGCTAATGTATAACTTGGTCATTGGGACTAGTCTGTCGCTCTCTGCGTGAAGACTAGCTTT